GACGCGTTTCAGAAAGGCGGGGCATAGAGGAGAAACAATAATGTACAGTATGTGGAAAATATTATGTTTTTTTAACCTTAAACAGCATAAACACATTTCATTACACCAAATACACAAAATAATGTTCTTTTTAGCAACATCATATGACCCCTTTAAAGACCTGTATCAGTAAAGCAAAGCAACCTTGTTTTACAGAAAGTATTTGGAGACTCAAGTACTGAAATATGCTCACCCTTTAAGCCATCCAAGATGTAGACGAGTTTGTTTCTTTATCCAAACAGATTTAGAGAAATTTAGTATTAGATCACTTGCATCACAGTGAATGGGTGCCCTCAGAATGAATGTTTTGTGTAGCTAAAAGTGCATGTTTGTAATAAACAAATCCATCATTAAAGTGTTTTAACTTTAATCCATCACCAAAATACCATAATCTATAATAACACTTTAAGTAAAAAAGTAAAAATCCCCTGTTGTTTTCTGAAACCAAAATCCACCAAGATATTTGTTTAGAACTGTCTTTTTGCTTATAAACAGGGCTTAATCTGTGCATATTTCTCTCCCAATTCAGTTGAAATGACGTTTTCACTGGAGAAAGCAATATTATGGATAGAGGACTCATATTTTCAAGTTAAAATGTCTTGATGGATTTGTTTATTACACACAGCTTTTCACAAGATTTTAATTTTATTTATTTTTTATTGCTTGTGGATTATTGTGATGTTTTTATCAGCTGTTTGAACTCTCATTTTGACAGCACCCATTCACTGCAGAGGATCCTTTGGTCAGTGATGTAATGCTAAATTACTCATTTAAAAAAAAAACTCATTCATGTTTTGCATGGCGCTTATGCACTTAAAAATATATGAATGTAGTTGCATTAAGCAACAAAATATCAAATCATGTGCTTTTTTTAATGCAATATAGCACAAATTTTTCAAGCAAAACATTTCACAGAAGTTGTTATAGGTACAAAATACCAGTCTTTATGCAAAGAAAAATGCTATTCAGGCTTCAGTGCTCGTGACTGAATACAGATATGAATGTGGCATTGAAGACATTAAAACCATCACAGCCCACACACATCCAATGTTCTATCAACTACTTCTCATTGATTAAAAGAAACTGCCAAGCATAATAAAAGCGACTAGATTTTAATGTCAAGTTACATCTGCTGAATTAAGACTGCTTGCCATTTTTAGCCCACATCTAAATATGCAACTGTCTTTTTAAAATCCATCTACTGTACATCCATCATCTGCTGTACACCACAAAGTGACGAATGCCTTGTATCCTCTGATAGAACAACAAGTCTAAGGTCTAAATGATGCTTAATTGGTTTTATTTGTGTGTGTGCATTCATGCGTGCTTGTGCATGTGTTTTCTCAGGTCTTCTCACTCTCTCTGGGGTGAGTCTGTACATCAGGTACTCTCAGAAGGCTCTGGAAGAAACTGAAAGGCGGATGGGCCGTGAGCAAATGGCTCAAGTGCACACATCATTCGGCTGGTCTATGGGCATGGCCTGGATCTCCTTTCTTCTGGAGGTGATCACTGGTCTTCTCCTACTGCTGGCTGTCAGGCTGGTGCCTTTAACCCAGTATGAAGAGTCTGTCGCCCCCATATAGAGACTCACCACCACCTCCTTGAACCATACATGTCCATTTCAGGCAAGGTAGTCAGTATTTGTCAAGGTAAGGCCTCCTCTCTGTCTTACATTGTTAGCAAATATACAATGGAAATAAATTGCAATGGAAAAAAGATAAAGTATGTTTTGTATTCAAAACTAATTTCACATGCTTAAGATCATGAAAAACATTTCTTTTGACTAGTAGTGTAGATATGGACAACCAAATTGCCCTTTGCAATATGCAAAACATATATCAGATATGGATATCAGAACTGTTAAGTAAATTACTTTTAATTATTTTTTTCTGTTAGTGGTCATTCTGTTTCTTTCTCTGAGCTCTTTTACAATTTATAGCATATAGACCAGTTCAAAGGCCAACTGTCTGGCTCATTTTCATATCTTTTGTTGATAATTTAATGTGTTTTTGCGCCTCTCTAATGTATTATATTTTATGCTGGGCTTCTGCTTTCCATTATTTGTGTATTCACTGTTTTTTTCTTGCTGTTATTATCCTTGAGTTTACATTATGAACGGAGCATGTAACAGGAAGCGTGACCTAACTGTATATGTTTTACAGCCATCCATTGTTCATTAAATATGTGTAATTTATGAAAAGGCTTTTTTGAACAAAATTCGTTTGAATTTTGCAGTTTGATTTGCTTTATATTTGATATCTTCTTTGATGTTTTATATTCAGGCTTCTGAAACTTAACATTTCATGATTGAGTGCTTTGAAATTTTTATCTTTGATCTTTTAATGAGTCAGGCTGTCGCTTTTAGAAAATATGTGCTAAGATGGATCATATCTAATCATAGTTATTTGTCTTACATTGCTATCCATCAAGCCCAAACAAGCAGATTTAATTTGCAATGCTGAGAGACATCTCACAATCCCTGAGAAGCTATGTCTTGTGAATGCTGTTGTTCTTGAAAAATAAAATCTTCTCATTTAAATGTACGTTTAAGTGCTTTCCACTTTAGCTTGATTAGTAGCTGTTGTTGTTTGTCATTTCTAGTTGTTATATTGTAATTTTTATTCTGATTTTGGTTTATGGCAACAGTGAGGAACATTATGCTTTTAGATATTCATCAAGATTAAAGCTTAACTGAATTGTCTGTATGTAATGGTTTTTGTATTTGAACTTTTTTGGATAACATATTTGTGCACCAAAAGGCTGGGCAAACGTGACTTACAGGCAAATAATAATAATAATCAGGGACAACTATAATATTCCTAATTCTTAGTATACACTCTTATCATATATGGAAACAAAACTTTAAAATATCAACAACAGAAGAAGAAATGTGACTCAGTATAGTGATTCAAAAGGTGCTTTTGGCACACTTGGATGAATTTATGAATCAGAAAGAATGTATTGTCTTAAATGAGCACCCCCGTGAGTTAAATTTTTTCTATGCAGGATAACAGTAGCCATAGACGTCAGAGGTCTGCTTTAACACTTTCAGAGGGTGACAAGCTCTGGCAGAGGCAAGAAATCAGAATCATTCAACTTCATTTTCAGGTGTGGAAAGAAAATTGAACATGTGAGTGATGAGACTGCCATTTTTAATTAAAAAAAACATTGGTCTTGATGCTTCTTTCCAAACCAAAATTGATTATTGTTAATTTGTCTGATTATTTGTGTAAATTACAGCCATTTCATTTAAAGGGGTCATATGATGCTGCTAAAAAAAACAGTATTTTGTGTATTTGGTGTAATGAAATGTGTTTATGCGGTTTAAGGTTAAAAAAACACATTATTTTCCACATACTGTACATTATTGTTTCTCCTCTATGCCCCGCCTTTCTGAAACGGGTCGATTTTTATAAAGCTCATCGGTCTGAAAAAGCGAGGTGTGCTGTGATTGGCCAGCTATCCAGTGCGTTATGATTGGCCATTTAAAGACCAGGCTGGTCTGAAAGCATAGATTACCAAATGCTGCATCCCAAACAGATGTAAATGTTTTTTGTTGAATTATTCACAAACTATAAATTGGGCTTTGTTGCCATCCCTATTTTTGACATCTTTTAGATGAATACATTGAGTCCAGTAATAGCACTCAAGCCCTCACTGAATAATTTTGAATTTCTGTTGGAGACAGTCTGCTTTTGTGGCCTCCTCCATAAGTAGATGATTAGTCCACCCCATCAATCGTACACGGCCCCATCAGAGCGTTTGCGAACCACACAAGGCTGAAATTAATGTTCCTTTGGGCTGGCCTTGTGGCTCACTGCATAATGGCACATGGCAGTATTTTTCCATCATGAGATGTTTCACCCATATATGCAGTCTATCAATGTGCCCATCGATTCTCTGGTATTTATGCAACCACATGCAGCATACATAAATACAACCATTAATTAATCCCAATGAGATTATCAGCAGTCAACAGTTTTACTATTTAAGTTTTGAAATATTTCTCTCATTTTTCATTCTGTAGTGTAATTTAATGTGCACATTTATTATAACCGACTTCACACTCCAAAAATCCTAAAATGGCTTTGTTGGCAGAAAATACAAATTACTGCAAACAGGCCAATCTCACAAAGCCACTCAAATGTCCACATTTCACCACAAAATTAAATGTTTATGAGCATACAATATTTTGCATTTGTGATGTTATTTTTAGGACAATTTCACATATTTTACCCAATTCTTTACCATAATGCACTTAACATTTTACTATTTCCATTACAAATGACAATCATGACCATGACAAATCTCTTATAGTACAGCAATTGTTTACTTCTTTTTATTTTTCAAAACAATACTTTAAAATACATTTAAATTTGCACAAATTCAAATTACTACAACAAATACTTCCATTATGTATAAATACCTTTTTAATTTATATATATGGTAATGAGAATATGAAAATGAGAATCTGCTTTGCATTATAGTGAGAATGTAAAAACTATGAAATGTGCTTAATTGTCATGAAAATGTAAAAAAAAAAAAAAACATCTTTAAGCAAAATATAATTTTTACATTCCTTTTATTTAAAAATTGGCATAAAACCTGACATTTTCCTGACAGGTTTTGTCAGAATCGCCCACAATTACTCCATTGATGTTGTGCACAAGATTCTGCATAAGTTATGCAATTTTTGGAAGGCAAAACAAGATATTGGCTTGTCAGCCATGACACTGTTTACAATGTCTTGACTAAATTTCGAGGGCTATTGAAAACCGCAAATAAGCAACAGAATAAATTCAAATGCCCAAAACCAGTTTAGGGATATGTCATTTTAAAAATTATGTAGATCCAGCCAATTCATTCATCTTGGAATGATGATCAAACCAGTATTTAGCCAGTAAGACAGCAGTGCCTATTGATAGTGAAATTTGATAACTAGCCAATACCCAATAACCCCTGCAATCCATAAAGAGTAATAAAATTACACTGAAATTCATGAAACATTCCTGAGGGTGCAGGTCTTCCCAATAGAATAAGGTTACCAAATTGCGTTTTTGAAATAATGCATCCGTTAACTTCTTCCACATTTCCTAAAATCCCTTGCCCATATTGGTTAAACATGCACACATTTAAATGCCGACACACACTGTGTATCTATGTGACCAGAAAAGAAAGCAAGGTTTATATGATAATTTAGAATCAACCAAATCCAGAGATTTGCATCTTAGCTTTATCTATGAGCCGTGAGTAAGGTGTTTCAATGTGCAGATGACATGCCCGAGCAGTGAAGATTTCATGCGGCGGCAACCACAGCTGCCTGGTCAGCAAGGGTTCATCCGTCTTACCTCTTAGTGAGGAAACCACTCTGCTGCCAACCTGCTCCAATGTCCTGCACAACACCAAAGGCATAACGGAAGTCTGTGTAGATGTTAACTCTTTTGCCGTTTGCCAGCTCACATTTTAGAGCAACCAAATTAATTGACATTTAAGCCCCGTTCACACCAGTGAAAGAAATCGTCTGCCGCTTTAATTTCTCGAGCTTGTTACAGTAGGATTGATTCTGATTGGCTGTCGATGTTTTTATTGTTCATCAGCTGGAAAAAATCATTCTGAAAGTGATTCCAACGATATCGTTTCTCTATGCCTTTATCGTTATGTCTGGTGTGGACTGCTATTATTTAATATTGAGAACGATTTTTAGAACTATATCTTTATCGTTATCTTTATAGTTATCGTCCTTGGTGTGAACAGGCCTTTAGTCTGTATTAGCTGCTCAACCTGCCTTGCATTCTCCATTGTCCTCAGAAAATCAAATTAGAATTTAGAGTTCCAAACTGACTACATGTACTCTACCCTTAAAAACTCCCTATTACCCCTGCACCATCTTGACCATCTGGAATTAGTTTAGGTGTAATGATGTTAGGCAAAGGCCTTGAGTCACAGTATGGGTTGCGGTGAATAATACCCCCATAGTCATAGTTTTTCTGATTTCCCCATTCTTGAGTTAAAATAGATCTCGTGTAACCAATGCAAAATATTCCCCTTGTATCTGATAAAACTAGTGCAAATGCTACTTGTGTCTCAAAAACTATTCAGGAGTCCAGTCATTGAGCCCTGAACAAATTAAAGAAAACTGTTCAACACTGCAGCTCATCTGCATAACTTTTAAACCAACTGCACTTGTAGTTACATCCTCAAAGAGAATCTTAGCTCTTGAATGGTGTCAATTAAAAATCATTGGTGTCTTAGAAATCTCTCAAAAATGGCCAGTTTCTGTCATTAAACTTTTGTAAAACAACCAGATGAAAAACTCTTTCTCAGAGTCTGAGACAAGATGATTTCCCATGCAGCTGCTGTATTTCAAGCTGAGGAAACAACGGGTGCAAGATTTCACTCCCCAAACTTATTAACATTAATTATAAATATAGCATATAAATATTTATACAATATATAAATATAGTTACTACAGGTTTCCTGGAGGTTTCAGACTTCAAATCAAGATACACAGAAACTTGGAGGCTAGCACTCTCTGCTTATGCTACATCTTTAGCAGTTATCATAATAATAACTCAACAGTGAGATTAGTGTCGGCATTGCATCTAAACCCTAAAAGGCGTTTTAGTAAAACATAGTTATTTACCCTACTGTTAGTGATGTGCTCTTCACACACAGAAACAAACATCCTCAAGCTTGATCAAACTTTTCGTCACATAGTGAAAA